GTTAGAATAACTGCCTTTGAACTAATGGATAGATCGAGTACAGAATTTGGAAATAATAGCACAAGATATAACTCTTCCAATAGAAAACTTGACAAGTTCCTCAGCTAAGTTAAATAATATAAATGAGAACTAGCCTTGAACAAATTCTGAGACATTACTGAAGAGTCACGCCAACACAATCTGTCTGCTAAGGTTTAAATACCTAGTTGTTGTCCATTAGGTGTACAATAATCTTGAAACTCAGTGAAGCATAGAAGACTAGAGCCTCAATTTCGTGCGACCAACTAGTAGTTCATACATACAAGAACAGGAGCTTATTAACCAAAAGATGAACAGCTTCCCTTCTCTCGTGATTGAGGCATGTGTCAGCCAGAAAGACCTTGTCCTCGGACTAAGCAGGCACTGTGCATCAGGCCAAAGTATAGTGTAAATGAACATTTATTCTTGTTGGATAACAGTACTCGTGTCTTAAAGTAAAGATACTAGAATGTGAAGAGAAAAGGTTAAAAAGGTCTGGCATGCAAAACAAAAATAGGATTAGTCTAACTGAAGGACTATCTATAGCCCCTCAAAAACACATTTATACACAGAAATTTTCATCTTATTCTGATTTTATGCTTTATTAGAAATCCATAAGCCCACACCATCTTTTAATTTGCTAAACATTTAAATTTCCTCCGAGTAATCCAAACACGTCTACACATATGGGCCTCAGGTAAAGTGAAACCAGTTAGCCACCTCGAGTCACGTTAGGAATTCTGTATTATGGGTTATGAGCTCATGGATAACCTAGGGTGAGTTTTAAATGTTGACCAGTATTTTACAAATGGAAGGACAAAAAATGAACATGTCCAGACAATATATGTGAGCATAACGTTGCTAAAGGATAAACAACTTACTGTATGTCGATGTATCAATTTGCTCAGGAAGCTCTTTTATATCCACTTCAAACCTCTCCTGAACCTGCAACAAATTATGGAGCCAAGGCAGCAGAACATGTAAGCAGCCAAAACTAAATGCAAAATCAATATATATCAACCACATACCTGATTGAGGACATCGGAGTCTGAAGCAGACGATACAAATGTGATGGCAAGACCTTTTGTACCAAACCGTCCAGCTCTTCCCACCTATAAAGTTGAAAATGAAAACAAAAGAACTGTAAGGAC